GTTCCAGCCAAGCAGAAAATCACAGCTTTGCCCAGCTCCGTCATGTGTGAAGAGTTTTTCTTTTCAAAACTCTGCTGTTACTGTGGTTTAAAACAGGTCACTTGCTCCTTGACTGAAAAGAATCTAGACATTTAACAAACTATCTCTGAAACATAATGAGAGGTTTGTAAAGTTATCTCATACAGTGTCATCCAAAGAACGAGACACACCAATCTGCAGTACTCCGATTAATGGTATTTTTCTCTGAAATCAGCTCAATTCAGGAGACAGCTTGAAATTGTTTTTTGTTTTTTGAATTTATTTCTCTATGCAGGACAAATGGGGCTAAATTTGGAATGTCATATTACAATGCTTTCATCTGCTCCCAAGGCTTGTTAAGCAAAGTAACCAGACAAATTCTAACACCTTATGATTGTTACATGTGGGAAAATAAAATATCCACAGTATAAACTTACAGTCCTGCGTGGCATGTGTCCCAGCAATATAAAGCCTTTCTTGATCATGGTAGGTGGAGGACAGGTCACAAGGACTTCTCAGGTAATATGATAGAGGTCTGGGTTGAAATCAGGGTTTTTATCACCAACATTTAAATTAACAATAAGTGTATCAGAGAAAAATCTTAATATCATAATGTTCTTTTTCATAACATCACCTCTCCTATGAATCTGCTGAAATTAGTTTAATGAAGTTTTCCTCCAAACGCCCACTTTCACATATTCACATCTCTACTGGGCAGTAAAATTATGTGGGTAAACCAATTTATGAAAGCTTTTGGGCAGAATTTAAAGGAACCGTTTAATTTCTACTAATACTCTATCCTAAAAGCTTTTAAACATGGATGTTTGGTGAGAGCATAACTCAGACCTGCAGCAACCGCACTTGAGCAGACTGTACTTAAGGGTAAAAGGGAGAGAAAGTAGTATGCGCTCTCTCCCAGGCCCCCAAAGCCAGAGCGGAGCGAAGATGGGACGCCAAATAAATCTGCCAGTGATTACGCTAAAGGAAATTATGATCTTGTTATAGAAACCATTAAAGGAAAACCAGAGTTGGTATGTAAATATTGTTGCATCATTATACCACTGAAAAAAACAACCTAGTGCGACATTAGTATGTTATGCAATTAACAAAATGAAAAATGAGCTGCTTGAATTTAAAGCTTTTAATGTTTTTCAAACAGATAATAAGCATTTTCAATACCAATGTAAAACATAATAGAAAAGGTCTCCCTCAAAGAGTGACATATTTCGTCAATACTTACTAAGCCTTAAAGAGCTGATATGCATTCACATATGTCTGTTATTTGTTATTTTCTAACTCATCAAACATCAATCACCTATAAACTAAAGGAGGATGAAGATAAAAGACTGGCTAGAAAAATCAGAAAATGTGATATTTGTGATGCTTTCAGAGATGTGTTTTTCTGATTTTGAGAAAAACGGCCTGGATAGCCAACCTGGTTTAGGCAAAAGCCTATTATTAAATATTGTAGGAAACATTTTAAATCTAAAAGTATTTTAAAATGTTAATTTAATTCTTCAGAATGGAAGAATTATAAATTACAATTAATATTTCATCTATTCTTCAACATTCTTACTGACTTCTGAAGAACCAGCAATTAATTTATATTATCAATTACTCTAGTAGAATCTAAAAAATAGTTTCTCAGAGTTACTTACTTCACTGGAAAATGGGAAAACAAAAATTTCTTCAAAATATGTCATAAAACATTCTCATGCACTAAAGCCTGCCCTTATTGTGCAAGTATTTTAATATATATATTAATGATAACAACATTATTCATCTTACTGTGCTACTAGCTATAGCTGAATTTTAAAAACCACAACTATTTGCTATTTGAAAGCCAATGTATTGCCCAGTCAAAAACAGCTTCATAAAAATGAACTTACATTACCAACCACGAAGCTATTTACTTTGTAGATGATGGTGAATTTTCAGTATCAAATTCAGAAACAGTAAGGAAAAATTCATATGGGGACAATGCAACTTTAATAATTTCTAAATGAATATAATTTACTGTAGGCACTAGAAAGTTAATATGTTCTCTAAAGATTTCTTTAATTTAGTTGTTGCTAATTTATTCACACTAATACAGAAAAAAATACTGCAAAATTTTTCATAACAAAAAAACTGTGCATATCTCTGTGTTTTAGCTGGCATGTGGTTCTACACAGATGGTTTGGGGCTTTCTTTGCTGCAAAACAGATGGGCCTGCACTGTCCCTTACCAATCAAAAGAGAACTTGAAAATATAGGAATATCTTTACCTACATTGCGTCCTTTAATTCAAGAAATTAAAATGCCTAAAAGTATAAATAACTGCCTATGGAAAATAATTTTTGAAATGGGATGTCATATGTTGAAATTATACAGTAACCCAGTTCATGTTTAATGCAAAAATATAAAAAGTTTGGCTTGTACTTGATACTGTTTGTAACATGCAACTATTAACTTAAGAAATTTACAACTATGCAATGACTGTTATCATGTGTTCACCTTGCCCAAAAAACACTGCTGTTTTAAAACTTCAAGTGTGCTTAAGCATATTTCAATTCAAAGTGATCATTCTAGGCAGCATCATCCATTGAACCAAGTTAGCAAACACATATGAGTTTGGTACACTTAGAACTGACATACTTTTGCAACCAAAATAGAAGCTGAAACAAAACTCTGAGTTAATCTGAATGCTTTAAGTATTACTTTAATTATTCTCAACAGAAATTTAAAAGGTCTTTTGTACATTGAATCAGAATTGAGGCCTACCTTCATCTTTAAGGTCTCTGTTGAAATGTGGAAGCATGACATTCAGGATTATTAAAAGCACTCTCTTTGTTTTGTATATATCAGTAAATTTTACAAAGTAATGTGACAGCATACTCTTATAGATAGCATCACTATGTGAGAGACAGACATCGTGGGCTCAATGAGCTTAGAATATAGTGTTGCTTATAGGAAGAACTCCCACCGCTTTTATCTCCAATATACAAATAAAGTTGTCAACATGTAATACTGCAACCAATTTTTGATATTTTGTAAATTTTGCATTCTAACAGTGAGTAACTTTTCTGACCTTAGTCAAGGCTTTTAGAGGCTGATATTCCTCGGTGGCATTGTCCACAAATGCCAGCAGAGCTATTTGGTCTACCTGTATTTACCCAGGATAAGTGGTATTCAGAGCACTACGCAACCTGTATTTTACTCTTCTCTAAAGTAATGTCTCTAATGCTTAACCATAAGGAAAGAAAAAAACTATGTGTATATATATAAATATATATATATTTTTACATGAATGCTTACACATGTTTACATATATTTACAATCATACATCTATAACTGCATATAACTATACATATAAAATACTATATAGATATATCTATAGGATATATCTCTATATATTCATCTCTATATCAAGATATATATATCTTCATTTCTGCAACTATTTTACCAAGGAATACAGAAAGACTTGTTCTGTACATATAAGCAGCATATCTTAAATTGGTTTCTGTTTATAATGTTTAGATTCTAAAAAGCAACTGAGTATTTTTTCTTTTGTCTGTGTGATGCAAAATAACAGCTTTGCTTATATTTTTTCAATTACATGAAAATCAGTGTCTCCCATAGATCTATGATGAAAGGTTTTGCCAGGCTAGTAAATGTAAATAAAACTATAAAATAAATATTTTTAAGACAAGAAACTGTTCCCAAGCACTCCTAAATACTTTGGCAGCCTCTACATAAACAAACAATGATATGGTAATTACAAATAATTTTTATCCATTCTTTAAAATAGTTTCTAAAGATGTCTTCTAGCCTAAACCTAGATCAAATTACTGTAGTTAAAGGCCACAATCTTAAAAAGATCCCACACTTTAGTTTTCTAATAATTTAGTCATTTTAAATATCTGCATTATTAAAGTTTTCTAGAATAGTTTTCCAACAATGTATGAGTTATGAAGTTCTCTGGCTTAACATTCAGTAAATAAACATTAATTATACTATAGAACCAAGGTGCATAATCAGCAAATTTAAGTTTTGCTGCGTTAAAAATAAATCCGAAGTATTGGGAATACTCTTGACAAGATCCCCTTTCCCCCAAGTTCTTACACAAAATAAAATAAAATAAAACAAAGCAAAACTCCACAAATTATCATAGAGATAACTTTTAATATTTTAGTGAATTTTCTAATATATGTCTTTTATATAAATATATATATTCATATTATGGGCCGGGCGCAGCGGCTCATGCCTGTAATCCCAGCACTTTGGGAGGCCAAGGCGGGTGGATCATGAGGTCGAGAGATCGAGACCATCCTGGCTGACCAACACAGTGAAACCCCGTCTCTAGTAAAAATACAAAAATTAACTGGGCATAGTGGTGGCAGGCGCCTGTAGTCCCAGCTGCTCGGGAGGCTGAGGCAGGAGAATCGCTTGAACCTGGGAGGCAGAGGTTGCAGTGAGCCGAGATCATGCCATTGCACTCCAGACTGGGTGACAGAGTGAGACTCCATCTCAGTATATATATATTCATATTATATAAAATTATAAAATAATATTGTTTTATAAAGAGATTTTTCTAACATATAATGAATAGTTTCTATATCATTAAGTATTATTTTCATTGCTATATAGAATTCCATTAATGGACATGTAATTCATTTAACCCATATTCTACCACTGGGTATGTAGATTATTTTCATTCTTTTTTCCTAGTCTAAGAAATGCCAGTAGGCATGTATTCTCATAGGTGTGTTTCTGAAAGCACCTAAGGTGTTTTAAATACACTGCTTAGCAGGATACAATAATATGTATTCTCCTCAATCAACACATTCCTATAAATATGTCTCCTTTCCTAAGCAGATGAAAGTATTAAACTACAAACTGTGCACCTCATATACTAGTAAAGAATATTATACTAGCTCATCAGGTTTGTTGGTTTGTTTAATTCTTGAAACCTGCACTACTGCCTTGTGTATCTTTCCCTAGTAATCAAAGAGCTGAGTTTTCCTGAAGAGGCACAAACTCAAAAAATCCCAGTTGTATCCTGTCACCTTATGCATGGATATTCACATTGTGGCAGCACTGTGCCAGACACCAGCACACCCATTCCGGAAACAGTCTGATTTCTGTCACTGTGGAGCCAACCACCATGAGAGAATTATCTGTCTGCACACAGCTGGACTCAGGAATGGCCATGAAACCTCCAGGCAGAAGTTTGAAAGTCAGTATATGAGTGACTGTGTTTTTTTTACCCGCTTTGCTACGAGACCATGTCTGGATAGAGGCTGCCCCATCAGTCTCGTCGTGTAATGCACATTTGGAATATAGCCACAGCTACAATGGACAAAGGATGAGTAAAAAATCACATTCTGCTGTTGTAAGGTACTGAAATTCTGGATTCATTTGTTACGACACATCAATGGTCTTTTCCTGACTAATACACTTAGAGAACAGCAATGTATTCACAGGAATAAGGAAGTCTTGAGAGGCAACATAGAGAAGTGGATGAAGCCAGTCTCCTTAGGCTAAAACCTTCTTCTTGCCTCTTTGTAACCAAGTAAACTTGAGGACATTGCATTACTTTTATAGGTTCTTATCCTCCAAAGAAAATGGAGATAATAGTACCTAGCCTCAAATAGTTGTTATGAAGATTGAATGATACATTACATGTAGTATTTAATGTCTGATAATACATAGAAAATCTTCAATCTATATCAGCTATTATTTTTAAAACTAGTATTAGCATTAGCATTTTTAAGCAGAGATTACAGCAGTAAAGAATTTGGGTTTTAACTCAGAAACACCTGGCTTCAACTCTCAATTCTGACACTCTCAGTGTAAATTTGTATTCATAACTTGAGTTTTCTGAGCCTTTGTTTATTTACTTACAAAGTGAGGATAAGAATGCCTATTTATTGTATCACTGAGGCGATGAAATAAGTTTGTAGTATAGAGAGCACAATGCATGGCACATTGGAAACACCCAATAAATGATGCTGTTATTATGATTAAAAATCAATAGTGACTACTTTTAAAAGACTCTGAATGATAGAAAGGTACTTTAGTGGCCATATTTGGCCATCTTCTCTGGATATTAGATTCTCAATTTGTTGCTTTAAAAACTGCTGCTGTAATCCCGGCACTTTGGGAGGCCGAGGAGGGCAGATCACGAGGTCAGGAGATCGAGACCATCCTGGCTAACACGATGAAAACCTATCTCTACTAAAAAATACAAAACTTAGCTGGGTGTAGTGGTGGGCGCCTGTAGTCCCGTCTACTCGGGAGGCTGAGGCAGGAGAATGGCGTGAACCCGGGAGGCGGAGCTTGCAGTGAGCAGAGATCGGGCCACTGCACTCCAGCCTGGGCAACAGAGTCAGACTCTGTCTCAGAAAAAAATAAAAATAAAAAAAAAATCTGCTGCGAAACTTCTAAATCAACCTTGATGGGTCAACTCTGATTTTATGCACAAATTTCATGTAGCATGACTGCAAGAATCATCTTTGATCTGACCAAAAGTCTCTTTGAATAATTAAACCATGTTGAACTACATAAAATATGTGTTATACAAAATGTAATAATCCATTAGTCAAATCCATCTAGTGAAAGAGGATTTCAAGTGTTTGATGAGAGACAAAGGACAAACAAAGAAGTGAACCTACCTGGTTTATAGTCTTCATTCACAAAAACAGGCTCTGAACTCGGACAAAACTTAGGGGTACAAGTTTTTTCACCAGTAAGCTTACTTTGTTATGGTTCATAGGCAATGACTGAAGTAGGGGAAACTGTATATTTGATTTCCAATGCCCTGAGGTGGTAAAAAAAAGATAGTTTTTGTCACATAATTTGAGCATTCTTTTCTATTCAAATGTAGAACTGGGTGGAAATATATAAGTCAAATATAAGTGACTTTCGAAAGTGCCAATAAGCTAGGACCTTACCTTGCATGGCTCCCATGGTTTTTGAAGTTCAGTAAATTCAAAGTAAGCGACACCAGCATCACCATAAATGATGACTAAACAATCCCACTTGCCAGCTCCATGCCTAGGTCTTCCTCATAGTGAATGTTGTGATGTGAGCATGAAAGTAGGAAAAAACTACCACTTTTCAACAATGGTATTAATTTATTCAAATCTTTCATTTCTCATTTTAATACCATCCAATATTTGTTCATTTTCCCCCATTATTTGTGTTAATTATTTTTTCCCAAAACTTCTCAAATTATTTGCAAAGAGTCCGTTTCACAGAAATAAAATCCAACTTAAATAGAGAATATTCAAAATGGGACATAAGGGGAAAATGTGATTTAAAGATGATGCATGTATATGCTTCAAACACCCATAAAAATGTAAGATACGGATAGAATTTGTTTTAGTTTTAGTTTTATAATACCATCAGACCTCAGGTATCTATTTTTATGACCTTGAACATCAGGATGAAAATAGTAAAAAACATTTAATTCAAGACTGACTGTTTGCAAACATCCAGATGTTTGTTTTTGTATAACTAATGCACACTTAAAACTTTTTAATGTCAGTTATATGTGTAAAACATTAGCACTTTTATTTTTATTTAGAACTAGAAGGAATAAGTGGAAATCAGGAGAAACATTAAAGACATTCCAGTCACTGAGCATGCTGAAACCTGAAAACATGGTAAGTTTATTGGCTTGCCAAATAACAAAGCCTTCTAAAAACGACTTAAAACTTTCCATGCAGGCAAGGGGTATTACATCAGGATGTCTTTGTATTGTGGATCAACACAGGGATGTCTATCAGAAACATACTAGCAAATATTTACTCTCCTAAGGTAACAGCAGGTGAAAGGCAAAATAGACAAAGCAAAAACTGAAAGGATAGACAGGGAACTAGAACAATACGAGTGATGCCATGAAAGCTCCAAGCCATAGTGATACTTATAGGACTCTCTAAGAGTGCAGTTTAGAGGGAATCTAGGTTGGGCGTGTTAATAAGCCTGGTATACAATTAACTCAGAAAGGTGATGGTGGGAGGCTTAGAGAAGGACTTTGGAAGGCTTTGAATATCAAGTCAGAGTCTGGATTTTCTTCTGGAGACAGGAGGAAACCAAGAGAGTTTGTGAACAGGGGTTGATGGAAGCAGAGTGGTGCCATGAGAAGATTGATAATCTAACAGCAATGTGAAAAAGAGAAGTGTATGCAGAAGGTTCCCTGGTTTGTATATAACAAGGTTCCATCAAGACACAAAGGGACTTTTTTTTTAAAGCTTTATTGGCAGAAATCTTATATACCTAATTTTGTTTTCTTTTAGGCTTTAAAAATCTGCACACATGGCAAAACATTATGTTCAATCTTAATTTAATATATATTTTTCACATTGAGTTCACCAAAAAAATTGGGGGATCTCATTGCAAATCTTTCTTTTTTGACAAAAAATTTTCCCAGTGGTTAATAACATTCAGCAAAAGCACTAATGTAGAATAATGTGAACATCTAAAGAGAAGTAACTACTGCAGTCTAGAAAGCCTTACTCAGTCTCTGCCCTTCCATGTAAAATTAAAAAAAAAGACCAACACAAATACTTAACCATGAAATCCCACAGTAGCTTTACTAGTAATTAGAAAGGGCCTATAACATTAAAATTATGTAACTAGAGAAGCAATATATTATCACAAGTAATTTTTCTTCTTTCTGAAGAAAACAAATACTGCCATTTCACTTGAAAACTTGATGATATTCATTCATTTCTTCCTGTGATGAACAACATTATTAACTATAAACAGGTAAGTGGAACACAAATGAACCACTGATGTGTTTTCCAGAACTGCCCTTGACATAATTTTGACGCTTTTAAACTTAACAAATGTTGGCTCTGTTCATTAGATATACAATATGATTTTCATCCTTTCCAAATAGCATCAAGAGAGGCAGAAACATTCTGAATCTTTAAGCAGATAACTATAATTACTGTAAGCTTTTTAATATCATCTCTTAAAACATATTTAAATTATAAATGCCATAGATAGATTTCAAATATATAAAATTTCAAATACAATTAAGGCAAGTGTCATTTCCTTTTCTATTTGTAACTTGTCTACCTTTCACAAAACCCCACAAAGAAACATTTTGTCAACTAATAATATAATAAATTTGACTTGTGATTTGAAGTGTTAAAACAAAGGATTTTTTTCAATACAGGTAATACAAGAGGGTTTTCTGCTGTACTGTTTCAGAACTCTTTCTCAGTAAAGAAACCTTATCTAATCCTGTTTCATCCTTTAAAACTGCCTACACACTAATCTCAAGGGACAAATTTAATACTTTGCAACAAAGAGAATATATCCCTTTTCAGTTTGAATAGAGGAATTGTTAGGACACCAGTGAGGTATGAATAACATTATAATGCTGCCATTTACTTGGCAAAAGAAAAAGAAAGTCTCTTGTTGCAACCAGAAAAGAAGGCTTCCTTCTTTGGGTTAAATTTTTTGACCCCTGGTATATCCCCAGACACCTATGTTACTGTGCTATTTGGGTCTTCTACCTCTTGCGAAGTAAACACTGAGCAAATCTAAGTAAACAGTTTGTTTTAGTTGAAGATAGAAAGACTCCATTTAATTGAGTTTTGATGATAGATGTGCTCCAAATGGTGCAAACAACTTTGACATGGTAAAATAATATTGTCTTACGGCATGTGTAACACTACATAAAGAATCTTAGCTTAGCACTTTCTGAGTTTACAACATTTAAGTGAGAAAATGACAAAAGAAAGCCAAACTGTCAGAAACAGAAAAACCTTTAACAATCCTAAAATACAGACTATAATTCTCTTCTTTATTCATTTGATTTTGGGAATAATCTTTGCAACAGAAGGAGGGAATGAGAAAGACGCTGAACTTTGTACTTAAGAAACTTTACTTTTCTGTGGTCCACTGCATCGAGTTGAAAATGACACCACAACTAACACTTGAGTATTGATTCTATGATGTGGTTGTGGGCAAGTGATTGAGGCAAATCGACATGTCAAGGAAGGTAAACTCTAACCGAAAAAAATCCTTCTCTACTGTTTTGCCTACTACCACTTACGGATGATTTTACATAAAAAGTGTATTGTCATTAAAACCATCCATAGAAATTAAAAATTCAAAGTCTTATTTCATAAGTCTCTACATAAAGAAGACTCCTTATTTTAAACATTTACTATAAACCAGTTGATTTTGAAATGGCAAAATACTGGTGTTAGATTATGGTTAAACTCAACGATCAACATTTTTATTCTCTTATTTTCACAGTACAGCGAATTCTTTTGCCAGCTTTTGATAAATGTCTTCTTAAATATAGTTTTACTAAACATCAAATATATATATATTTCAAACTTTATATACATATCTATATATCTATATATATCTCTCTCTTAAACTTTTTAAAAACAAACTTTCTTGAAGAGTTACTTTATTTGATTTTATTTATATAATATGGCTAATCTCATTTGTACTATTTTCATCTATGTATTACTCTGAATTCGTGTCATCACAATGGCTCCTACTAAATACAGAACAGTATCTTTAGGGATCAGATACAAGATCTCATGCAATTTCAAAATCAGAAGAGATCAATCTGTAGCTGAACAAGTGATTTTTGGATAATTGTAAGTTATCATCCAAGATTTTCTTGACATTCTCAAATCAGTTCTATCAGTAGTAAAGTCAGAATGTTTCTCAGTCTCTTTCAACAAGATTGGAAAAGTAAATATATCAGTGATCCAATATTTGTAATAGAAGTAACAAACTTTGAATACACTATCTGCTTCTCAAAAGTAACTTGTTTTCTTAATTTTATTATTCTTTTGTATTTTCAACTTCTCCCTCCCACCCGATTCGTGGCTTTGTGCATCAAAATATTCTCTCTTTAGCTATGCATGGTGGTCCACGCCTGTAATTCCAGCTACTCAGGAGTATGAGGTGGGAGGATCACTTGAGCCCAGAAGTTCGAGACCAGCCTCGGTAACACAGCAAAACTCTGTCTCTGAAAATTAAATAAATAAATAAATATTTTCACCTTATCTC